TTAGCTCCGTGTGACTTCTTCCTCTTCCCACAGATGACAATTCAGCTAAAGGGAAGGAGATTTGAGACGATAGAAGAGATTCAGGCAGAATCGCAGATGGTGCTTGACAGGCTGACAAAGAAAGATTTCCAGGGATGCTTCCATGCTTGGCAGCGGCGCTGGGATCATTGTGTTCACTCCCAGGGGAACTACTTCGAGGGTGATGGATGAATTTAATACCTGAGATAAGTGTACGGGTTTTTATAGGCGCAGTCTAGAAACTTTCTGATCGCACCTCGTATAAAGCAGGACAGCTTTACTTACTTTTACTTTAATACTAATAGAAGCAACTGTTTCATGTGCCAAACATTTATCTATACAAGATCTATTTAAAGAATTAACAAACAGGCCTGACCATGTATTCCAGCTGCTAAAACTACTAAGACCGCATGCAACAAGCTCTTCTCTCCCTTGGGTTAGTGAGACCAACACCATTTATTGTTAGAACCACATGTTATTCAACATGAATCTAAAACGTACTTGATATGAAGATTTCATGGGGGATTGGGGTGCCACAAGCTGGCGAGCAAGCTGCGAAGTCGAGAAACTAACAGACTGGGGCATCTACAAAATCAACATTACGATTAGAGTAAAAGTTGCAACATAAGCTTTTACAAGAGGCCAGAAAATAATAACAAAAAGCATTCAATCATTGATAAGAGGACTTGTTCAAATCAAGACATGCCATATGTGATCACTTTTCTATAAATTCTTTTATAATGCTATATCCATCTCATCAAAGATTGATTAAAATACATAACTGTAAAATTTAAGATAACAAGTCATAAGTATCAGGGGAGCATCATGATAGAATGGAATATGCCACGAACCTCAATGAACATTCTAGCTTACGATTCCCAACCACTGACCTAAATGACCCCATGAGGCATGTTACATGTCATGCATTGATCAGGCCAATCCTTAGACAGTGGCTTTCTAATATATGCAATTCAGATATGAACCCTTTCCATGATGTAAAATATGCTGATATATGTTGTTTAAAACACTGACCCTTGTAGACTTAAGTTATTTGATGTTCAAGATAATGAATGAAAGAATGGGTCCTGCCATTTACCAACAATCAATACTAACTACATATGGCTTTTAAATAAAAGAATTTATGTCATGGCAGAAAAATACAAAGTAGTTCCAGTCTCTTACTATAGTGTCTCCAAATCCTGGTGTAAAAATTACCCCTTTGTGGCAAAATATGATATCAGGGTAGGTGTAAGACTTGAGGTTCTCACAGCGCAACAACCCAGAAGATGGAAATCTTCATCAGGGTAGGTGTTTCAATGAAGCCCATAAGCATAGAGGCTTCATACAACATAAATTTTCTACATCTGTCATAGGCTTCCATACCCTAGCAGCTGACCTGCTTGATAACTTACATCTGTGTAGAAACTGCTCAGTGTATCTACTGGTGTCTTCAACAACTTTACAAGTTCTCTGTTGAAGAACAACTTGAAAACATCCACAATTTCTGTAGCATATTTTGCTGCACCTTGAGGTCCAACTCTGGCAATGACATTTTCTCTCTGTGTAAATGTTCATGTCTTCCCATACAAAGTCATGAACAGTATTATCATCTTCATTACCATTACCATCACCATTCACCACAACATCAAGAAGGGAATGATCATCCAATCCACTGTCAATATTAAACTTAAATCTGATAAACGTTCTTCAGATTCACTGCCAAGTAAATGTTCTTCCACATCATCATGCAAAATAGCTGATTGCTTCCTGCTAGTAGAGACCAAAGATTCTACATGCCAAGTGCATAATGCACATTTATAGAACACAGAACTGTACAGCAGAAACATTCATATACAGAAATGTTATTCTTTCCTACATAGCTGTAAGTCTTTTTTTATACTCTTGTGACTCAAGGACATGGATCAAGATACAGCTTTAAAAAGTGAATGGATTTTTGTGGTTACAAATATGTAAGTGAAGGCAGTGCTCTTGGGGCCATAAAACTGTTCGCAAACCCTCAACAAAAGTCAATTTTTGTTCTGATCAGCATGCAGAAGACAAATGGCCGATCTCAGTTTCGATTCTAAGTGCCAAGGTAAAATAAAGTATGCCAACACACATACAAAAAGCAAGCCCACAATTTCATCTCTGATTTCACATCAAATTTCAACAACCCAAAATAAGAGCTAGAGTTTACTGCTGCACTATGCATGCTATGCACATTGGATAGCAAACTGATAAAACTGCCAGCATTGAGAGGTTAATGAGTTAATTAGGACAGCCACCCACTACAAGAATTGTGTCCTACTCCCCAGCACTCATACTTGTTCAATTCAAAGAAATATGGCTACTCTTTAAAATTAAATGTGTAAAATAACTTTGATAGAAATCTAACAACACTACAGAATAGGTCTACAGAAATTAGCATTTTACAACATTACTGATGAGTAATAACAATGCTCATGCTCTGCCCACTGACTGACAAAATGTATAAAACAAAGGTGTGCAAGCACATTTGTGCACAGCTGCTAACAACAGATAAAAACCTGCACTACAAATCATGTGTGTAATTCTATTCAACAGACAAGCATACAGAAACTTCAATTCCTCTCACATATTTCTAATGCTACAAAATCAAGAATTCTACATATTGGCTTCTGAACTAGATATTATATTCACTGATCAGAATATCAATTTTGGTACTTATATCCCTAATCTACTTAAATATGGATTCCACATAAATTCTTTGTAATTCTGCATAATTTATTAATGATGTTCATTTACTGCACACACAAACACATCAATACAAACCTAATTCACAGCACAACTATACGAAGAACACAAATATATTATATTAATATATAATACAAAAACAGACCAAAGGGCTTAATCTGTGGAAGATGGAACAGAAGAATCATATTAAAAATAACACAGTGGATAAAATTATTTATTTCTCTTTCTAGTTTAGTAAATATTCTTCATACTGAAAAGATACTTGAGATACATTCACCTATAATTTATTTAATAATTCTGTCAGTAGCTCAGACTATATAGTGTTGAATGACAGGATACTGGAAAGGATATGGAACGAAACAGTCACAGCCTAATTTAAGGTATAGGGACTGAGTAAAACCACAAAAGAAATGAAGTTTGTGCATTCTAATATAGCATTTCACAGCCAATATGCAAGACAAAAATCCATCAGAATAATTTGGACAGTGAACAGCAGTGGTATTGTAGACATAGTGAATTGTGAGGAGTACAAGAAATATGTGGACAGGGTCCATTTATCTGGTTCAGATATCACATTCTGCAACAACTGAACAGGTTTTTAATTTTCCTACCTTAGACATGTAAAAATATGACATTCAAGCAACCATACACAACACTTTATCTATGATACCTCAATCAATCTAGAACTATACATTAAATCCAAAATAGTTTTTGAACACCACAGAAGAAATCACAAAAAAAAATTCATACATCAAAGAACGAAGTTCCAACACAACCCCTAAGATTTTAAAATATCAACACAAAGCACGATACTGCATACAGATGATGCATGACGACAGCAATCTATAATGACTTTACTGCAAAATTCTAAGAACGTATTGCAGCAGTAGCTGGTAGTAATGTATAACGCTTGCATACCTTGTAAGAAACATTCTAATCAATCTGCATATGCTTACCTGATCTTGCCGATAATATTCTTGCTGACCAGGGTAACCTGCTGGGGGCCCTGACTGTTGTTGACTGGGTGGTCCTGAAGGTGGTCCAGGGGGTCCACCATATCCTGTGCGCGGTGGGTAGCCAGGGGGCTGAGTAGGCCCCATGTAGCGATTGTAGGGATCTTGTCCGCTACTTTGTTGCATGCTTGGGGATGTCTGGTTACTTGCACCACCTTGACTGTACCTGACATTAATTAAAGGCCTTCATGTATCACCAGCTTTTGTTAAAATCTCCCTTTAAATAACTACATGGTGCAACAGAAGATGGTCATCTTAAAAATGGGATGTGCATGAAAATCAGATGTAATGTAATGACAGTTGAGATACCACTTATCAACCTATGCTGTAGGAGAAAGATGATTATGCCCTCTGTGCCCCCAAAACAGATCACAGTACATTCATTTTGCTTGACCAGATGTGTAATGTGATGTCCTATTTCCTACACTGCCATGTCACTCTGTTGAACAGTCGCACTAATGTCTTACCCTACACTTGTAATGGAATTATGGGATTGGTAGGTTATATTAAACCCCACACACTAATACCAAAAACTGTAAATAGTGATTAAGGCTACTGCTATTCAGATACCTAAGGTTTTTAATTTGAAATGAATGACAATTAAAAATAATTCACCTCTCTCCTTCTGGCCCATATGGTGGGTACATGGGCCTGTTTGGTGGATAAGTGGTGCTGGGAGGATACTGCTGATTAAACTCTTGTCCCATACTGCCTGCGGTTCCTCTAGCATACTGGTCCTGGTACTGAGTATAACCTCCTTGGCCCTGGTAGCCCTGCTGCATCCCTGTCAACATCGTCAAAACCATTATCACCATCACGTCAGAAGCTGACAGAAGCAAGGGCATACCAGTCACAGACATCCTGGTTTGTTGTAGTTTAGACCTTTAGTGGGAAGAGATAAAATCACAAATACAATGAAGAAAGAGAAGAACATGCATTTGAGCATTTGAAGTGGCACTATGCTGTCAGTCATGTGGCAACACTTCAGACTGCATGTTTATATCACTAAATAAATAGGTTTGTTTGCTGACTTTGATATTTATCCTATCCTAAATTTTAAATATTCACAATGGGCTTCATATAAAATTACATGCATTCTCGATCAGAATTCTTAGTAGAACAATGATCCATGCACCAATTATTTAATTTCAAATAGTTTCTAATGAATGTGGAACCAAATGCCATTATGTATTTAACGGAGGTCAACCATCTGTCCATCCATCTCACTGGGCTTCAGGTATAACTTTATTCTAGAGATTTCTCTATTAAAATTCTGCATGAATTATTTTCCATTCAAACTATATGTTCAGTCCATTACCACTTCTGTGACGTCAGTATTGTAATGAAAGTAAACGAGCTGTGTCTACTTACTCCACTACACAAACTTTTTATTCTTATAGTTCATCTTACACACAAAATCCTTTCATCCAGCTGTCACCCATTTCTACTTTCAGATCTAGCCATGTGACTATAACTGGTCTTTAAACTGCAAAAGCATACTTTTTTCCTTGGTAATAGTTAATACATCAGATCACTATAAGGCACCACAGTGGTAAATAATGGGTCACTGTTAAATGGGAATACATGTTCATAAGACTGTATTAATAAATTAGCCACTTTTCTATTAAAGTATGTGCCCTTATGAGCTGAAAATTCATGCAGAATCCTGCAAAACAGCCAAATATTTAAACATAACATTATCTTCCAGACTGCTTTTACCTATTCAGCACAAGATGGCACATGTATCTGGACTTTCAACAGTTATGGCAAAGTCAGTAAAAAAAAAAAAAAAGCAGTTAAAGATGGTCATCTTCTGGGTTGCAGCTACATGCAGTCTGGTAGAATTCACCAACATTTCATAGGTACATGCTGCCTCCATTATCATCCTGATGTGCTACAACCTAGAAGGCAGGCATCTTCATACTCGCCACCATAAGAACATGAAACCCTACTAGAAAATTTGTTGTTTATATAATTAAGTTTTGTAGACTAATTATATACAGTAAGCACACAAAACTCATATTTAATAGTTGTTATCCTGAATAGCTGATGACTGACTGCGTAACTGTACCAGAAATAACCACTAACGTCTATGCAGCACAGATATCTCTTGAGCTAAAACGAAATGGAGATGGAAGTTTGCAGTTTTCTCTACATGTTCTCAAAAGCAGCTGCAGAAGGCTTTGTAAAATTTTCTTCAACTCCACAGTGCAAGCCTGTGAAGAGAATTGCAGGTTATAAACAGACACTAAAATATTTTGTTAGACACATCCCTATGCCATGAAATGTTGAGAAGTACCATGAAAAACAACCACACAGATCAAACTGTAAAGGACAGTCCATACTCACAAATGTAGCACACAGTTGTTCTTTATAAGAGTGCAAAACAAACAAATATATGGGAAGAAACAGTAAGAGGTAAACCAGCAAGCGCTTACCGGACAGGATCACACAGATCAGACACTACAACAGGACCTCTCCCACACACACAGCCAATGAAATACTTCACACAAGCCAGCAAAAACAGAGCACTAGAAGCTTGTTTAATAAAAGTGTATTAAAAACTAGAAAAACGACTGAGAAGTGTACATGCGAGCAATTAAAATGACAAGAAATGTGCACGAGAGGTGTGAGCAGGCAGACAAGCAAGCTCGTACCTTGGGGGCGAGGGGGACCACCAGAGTGTCCATAAGGTGGTCCATATGAATTGGGCCTCTGAGACTGACCGGGCGCCACGTCGTCAAAAGGGTTGGAAACGCTAATGTTATCCCCCGCACCTTGGTTCGGCACCCCCACACCTAGCAGTGAGGCAAATAAGCAATGACTTGCGTTCACGATGTTGTGTGCGTCATTTTCTAGAATGCTCAGATCTCAGATTCTCTTTCCATAAAGCAAGTATCTGTAATCACCCAACTTACACTACCATCAAAACTGGACAACTCAACTTCAAATATAGCAAAGCAGAAACAAAGCCGCAAGAAAACAAGAAAAAGAAGCATCTAACACCCAACACAAAGCACGAATGTCTCAAATGTACACAGCAAATGATACACTACTGCATAAGCAGGATGGACAACTAAGTAAAGTCTGATGAGACTAAGATAAAAATGTAAAATAATGCAATGCTAATTAAGCAGTCCTACAAGACTGGGCCCAAGTTATGTCTGCTTTAGGAGTAATGATCATATATCTATGGTAATGGAGACATTCCAGTATTCAAATATTCATTGAATTTTTCCTCCAATGAATATTCATGTACCAAATGTCCCCAGAGTAGATCAATAACATACAAGATGAAGAAAGTTTTAGCCCCTCCTGATGGCAGGCTTCATATTAAAGCATGACTGCCTCCTTTCTGAGCTCCAATATGTAAATATTAATTGCTGGGGGGGGGGGGGGGGGGGGCAAGACCTCTGTGTGTCTGTCCTACACCTGCTGGTGAACCTCCACCTCTTGGCAGGACTGGGGCAGGGGTGTTAACAGAAGTGCAACACGTACATTGGCAGGGGTGGAGAACCAAGTGCCAACACACATCAGATCACATGTCTAGTTCTCTATATTAATTTATATTATTGTTTAAGAAATTAATTTCTCCATTAACCTTTAATTCTTCAGTGATATATCGTAAAGGAGTTTTGTTACTGAAATCAAGCATTTGAAATGTAACACATTCAGGCCATCAGTTGCAAACATCAAATGTGACATTAGCATTTTTTTTAAAATAAAAACTCATACGGAAATCTCCCTCAGCATAGTTTTCATGCTGTGTCAAATGTGTGACCAACATATTTTTCACTTCAACATTTACACAGACTGGTCATGGGATACACACATATATACCACTTTATAATTACTTCAAAAGAATAATTTAAGTATGAAACAACAAATCAAGTCCCAATTGCAAGAACTTTCATGATTTCCAATTTTGTCAGCAGGCAGTAATGTCATTACATAACAAAATTTACTTCCATCTGTTAGAGAAAATCCTCTCTTTATGAACAAAATTTGCTCTGACATGATAGGAACTAGATTTTCAATGATCATAATTTTAAACTGGGGAAAGTACAGTTTTCAATGCACATGGTTTGAAATTTCTGACACAGCACAGGGTTTAATACTTGCCCTTACTGTTAATGTCACAAGTTCACAGATGGCTCTCATGAAATGGTATCATCAGAGAACAGTTTATGCAACATAAAACAAGACTGTTGTGTAGTGTGTGGCAGAAATTAATCAGTGTTTCAGAAATGCTTACTGACTCCATCATCAGGGAAATGGTTATGATAACCCTGATGATGGAGGTAGTAAGCACCTCTGAAATGTCAAGTCAATTTCTATCACACCATACAGTGCAAGATCCCACAAGGCAGTCATCTTCTTACTTGCCACTGTGAGAACCTGAAATCTCACCACGTAAAATAACAAGATCACTGAAATACTGGTATTTCAATATCTGCTCAAAAACACTGGGAGCTTTATCCTGGTTGGCACTTAGGCAAAAGTGACTGGACTATAAAGGTAGTGTCATGAATTGCAGCCATACTGGAAAGTGTTGAGTGATTTCAAGAACATAAAATATTTCTTTGTCAAACCTACGTAAGTAGAAAAGAGGCAAAGTGACGTGTTGATGAACTGGCAAGTAACTCTTCCCATCCCTGTACTTGCAACAGTTACAGACAGTTTTAAGGAATGTTAGAACATTCTAAAAAGTGCATCTTTGTGTTCTGATAACAATGCACCATACCACATTTGTCCAGTTCTAACTTCAAAATCAGCCATCATAAACAGGAGAACAAAACTTAAAAACTGCTGACACGATTGTCTGGATTCTATCAATTATTTTAACATTCCCTTTAACCTTTACTGTAATTGCATTGCATTACATTTGCACAGCACTTGCATAGTGCCAAACCATTAATGGGGCTGAAGCATGTCTGGGGGTTCAAATTCCCTTTTCCATACAACAAAAGTTAAAATGGATCTTGGAGAAGAAGACTGGCAATGTGACTGGACTGGACTGTACCAACTCCATATACAGTAAAGTGGAAGCCTTTTGTGATGATAGCAAAAGAGAGAGTAAGACAATTAATTACTTGATCAACTGGACAACTGATACCTGCCGAAGGAAGACACCATACTGTGGACTCCCAATTTATAAAGTCAATGAGTTGCCTGACCCCTGAAATATATAGCATGTCAAAGACAATGTAGCCAATGGGCATCTGATTTCAGTTGTAAAGCAATGAGAAAATATCTAAGGGTGCACCAAAAAACAGTAACTGTTGCGCAGTACTGTGGAGGAATCCATGCCCCATTCACACACAGAAAGTTGCCCATCCAACCCTGGGGATGACATTCAAACTCTAGCCTTCACGCTACAATATATGTGTGTGTGTGTGTGTGTAACCAGCCAGAAACACAAATCAGTCTACCAGACTTACCAGGGTGTGGGGAAGGTGCATTTGTCTGAGATGCAGGGCGCTGCATAGGTGGAGAATTGTAGTCAGGCGTAGAACCTGGTGGGTAACCATACCCATATCCATCCATCGAAGTTCCACTCGAGCCAGGTGCAGGAAATGAATCTTGGGAATTAGATGACCCTGCGGATCAAGTAACACGCTACTCTGTAGTCATCAGACATGTGAATAACACGCTATTAAGACAGTTTTATCATTTCAGAGCCTAAAAATTAAGCTCCAATCCACTTTTCCTTCACTCTTTAGGTTTCTCCATAAACAGCTCACTCCTATATCATCAGCATGCACCACTGTAAAAAGTACATTTCACACTTCCATATTTAAGTCATTTTCATCCCAGTATAATGTTCCTCAAAGGTTACAGAAAAAGTTGACAGTGGAACCACGGTTCCGGAGAATCTGATGTAAATACGTCTCTGTAATGTAATGTAATAATTCTTATATAAGATAAGTACTTGTGATATTCTACAAAACGTTTTTACCAGCACAAAATTATCTAGTCTACGACGCATTTCTTCTACAAGCGATTCACAGCTCAGCTCTTTCCGCAATAACGAAAGCGGATTGTTGACGGCAGTAATGTAACACAACAATGTCGAGTAAACAGATGACATAACAATGCACAAAGGAGTTCATATAAATGCTGACCATTGTTGTTGGTCCATATTTACACATTGTTAGTATGGATCTTTCACATCTTTGTTACGCTTTTTTGCCGAATGACCCTTCCGTATAGACGTATCACTTGACTTGCTGATGTGTCACGTGTTCTAAAAAACTAGGGAGAGCAATGATCTGTTAACAGACAACTAAATATTGCAATCCACAATAAACTCACTTTTGCATTCACCAGACTGTTCTTTGTGAGATGACAAACTCTGATCACAAGAACACTGACCTGGCGAAGGCACAGATGTTGCCTTGGTATTTTTCTTCTTGGAGGAAGCTTCCACCTGGTTGATTATTGGCTGTGGGTCAATGCCACCACGATCAAAATGGCACTCAAAAGCCAACAGGTTCTTAGTGTAGTGTTTCCTCAGTGTGTAGGCAGCACTTGAAGATGCACCAATACCCAGGAGACCGGCGATGTCCTTCCAGGTCTTGTTCTTTGTCACCTGTACCCCAACACACAGATATGGTTGAAAAAACACGTCTCATGAGGTATGCCCTGCCACGAGGCACTTCGCCCCTATTATTGCCTATTAACTGTAGGACAACCCAGAAAAGACCAACTTATGTGTTTCTTTGTTTTATTTACAGTTTGTTTAACAATACTGTCAACAGCTAAAATGAAACAGCCTCAAAACTGCGGGTTTACTATCCACAGTATCAGTTCACAGCTTCAGTAACAACTGCACAATTTTAACCCTTTCCTCAGTACATAAAGAAAAGTTAATCTATTATATATTTTGACTTATCTTATATTACCTGTAATTCATATACAGATTAAGAGATGGCACTACAATGTAAAATGTTTCATTTCCAAAATACTCTTACAACTTGAAACTGCCTCAGAGTCATAATAATTAATAACTGTATCTACCTCTGTTAAAAACTAGACAACATAAGGGCAGAAAATTATGTATTTAAACTATACTTCGCCTACTATGTAAAAGCAACTACATATGTGCCGATACCTACATGTTTCAAAATAACTATAAATAACTAGAAGCAAATATCAAAACTTAATCTATAAAGCTTCAAACTAGGGGGGAAAAAACCAACTTGTACATCACGCAAAAGTGACTGTTACTTAACCTTAGCTTCTGTTCTTCACAGGTCCTACTGTGCTTTCAACTAATTATGCGAATGAACTGTATAGAAATTTCCCTCACTACAGCTAACTACCAGGTGCCTTCTTAAATTGTTACTTTATTCTAGGATTACCCAATTTCCACAGATATTTTAACCCACAGCAACAAGCCCTGATATATTCAGAATAGGCTTCAATCCCCCGTAAAGCTGTGTCAATGTTGTGCACGCAACATCATCTCACTGTTGTGGAAAGAGGGTGTGAATAAACTACAACTAAGACTAGGTAAACTACCATGGAACTAAACACTGCACCTTGCATACCTCCATGAATCCCCCTCTCTCCTTGACATAGATGTACAGTCGAAAGAGATCGAGGGGGTTCTTGGAGATTGTGGGGCATGCTGAGATGGGTGTCCCACGTTCCTCCATGAACTGCAGAAGCTTGTCCAGCCAAATTCGGCGTTCATTGCTCTCGTCCATCTCGTACAGCTTTCCCAGGCTATCTGGTTTCTGCACGTGTCGAACACAAAGTGATTGGGTTAGCGTGTCATAATTTTCTGTCAGATTTACTTTAAACACTGATGTAAATGCAGAACTTGTGATGTAGATATAATTTATGAGCAATGTCCAATTGACGTTTTTCAAGCATAATTATACTTTAACACTGTGATGTTTGTAACTCCTTTATGAAATTATAATTTATGATATTCTGTCTAGATAAACTGCTTTAGTCTGAAGGTGTACGAGGGGGAGATAATTAACATGAATGTCACAATACATGTAAATTATTTCAGTGTGATTTATTGAGCATATATACAAAATTTGGAATGATAGTCATTCTCATGTTGTCTATGAACCTATCATTGGCTACTGCTAGGCTTTTCACTATGTTCATATGTCAGACTTGGTAAAAGGGCAGAACGGGGTGAAACAACCAAACATCGAATACACTTTGTTAAATTAATGATATGTTATATGAACTGCATAAAAGTACTAATCATCACACACAAACTCCAAGCCTACTTTAAAGCCTGTTTCATAATGAATATTTCAGTTACTTTAATGTAGTGCATGATCAGTGACAAAAGTAAGCACCATACATAAAGGTCCTTGCACTGAAGATGACAATGGTGTTGAAGCATGTACTGAGCCTTGCTGACAAACCACTCCATGGCATGTTCAGATACTACTGAATCAACTGTTTTGAAGGAGAACTCAACCATAACATATTGCTATGTGCTACTTTCTTAGCAAAACAAATCAAATCTTAATATGAAACAAGAACTGCCTCAAGCACTATGCCACATTTTGAAGATGGAAATTAATTGCTGGTTATCAGAAATGGAGGATTAACCCCACCTGAATTTGTTTTGGATTTTCCAAGAAAATTCTGATTTGGGAGGGGGAAGAGAATGTGCTATCTCCAATTGTTTGATTAGAGGGACTAAGTGCAAAAAAAAAATAATAAAAAAACCTGGAAGGACACATGGAAACAAACTCAAGACCTCACATTTAATGATGTTTAATTATTGTTCAATGAGTTGGATTATAAACAGTCAATTTGTATGGACTAAATTTCAAGTGGTCTTGACCACCTAGTGAGAGCAAGATTCAAACCAGGAACTGCAAAATAATTCATGCTCACAGTATTACTGTTATAATAACCTACTTAGTAAGATGGCTCTCAAGAAAAATAATACTTTGGTTGCAAACCTGTGTAATTTTCTTATACAGCATCATATAGTACAACACGTATGGCTGATGATAAAGCATCAAATTAAATTTCATTGGGAGAGGACTCACAGACTAAATGTTTGTAAGCTTTACACCAACAAGATACAAAGGTTACACAGTAATGAATGAGGTGGTTACGTGACTGCAGATGATGAGTAGGTGAGGTTTCAAAGGAGACAGCTGAGCAGTATTTGTATACTATCCTAGCATTCACATAAGGAGATCATACAGGAAACTACTAACACTGCCAAGATAAGTCAGATACCTTCTGAATATATTACAGCTATATAAACGTGCCCCAAAAGGTCATTTACAATCACAAACCAAAGTTAGGGTTACTCATTTCTGCCTTTGACAAGTTTCAATTAGTGAAGAAGACAGACGTGAGTTCTCCTTCATATGCATTTAGCTGCATGCTCATAATGCCTTGTTCAGCCTGGGTTACATGAAGCACGACGTGCTTTGTGCAAGATGCAAGCATATGCCTTTATTTCTGAACTGCAGAAATCCAACATTTGGATAACTGCACACTGGGGAGTACTCCCTGCAGACATATTATGGGCCAGGTTAGGTTTGTAACAGTGCAAGGAGTCCTCCACTGTTAAATTACCAACCAAGAAGTCTATCTTCTCTAAATAAATAGAAAAATAATAAAATTTAAGAAAACATTATTCCACTTTATAAACCCACAAGTGTTTAATTTTAGTAACGGAACAAACAGTTAGTAAAAGTAACATGCACACTTTTCTTTTTCTACCTGTGTTAGTGTATTCAAAGTGAAAACAAATCCTCTGCAGAATATCACATTACATTAGATAATCAGCACAGCATTTAGCAGGTGTCAGTTCATAGCCTTCACAGCACTTTAAAAAAAGTTACAACAAATTCATGAACGCTTTGTTTTATGAACAGCCAATTGATTCCTTTTCTTACAAACATTCAATTAAGGGAATTCTGAGTCAACATATTTGTCCCTTTTTTCTAAAATGCAAACTGAAAAATTGTTATAACAATAATATGCCAAATAATTCCTTAGTCACATACTTCTTTCTACAAGCATCTGCATATCACAAATCAATGTTGTGTCATTCTACTGTTTGTATTTTATATCTCAGGGCACCATAGTGCTTTTAAATTCATCCAAAACTGTCTTTAAATGAATGGGAAAATAACTTTTGTACAACAGATCCTAATCTGATGAACAACTTTCAAGAACACAAGTGATTACATTAACTTTAAAAGTCTTTTTTAGAGATGTTGCTCCATAGAACTATTATTTACTTTATCAACTGATAAGATATTTTGTCACAAAAATTATTTTATGAATGACAATTTCATCAGAGGTATGAAATCAGAAAATAGTTGATCCAGTTTCCTTTAACATCTAGGAAAATGAGACTGGGCAATAGAAGAAATTAGGTTAAAAATTTCTAGTTTGTAATAAATAACAATGCACCAGAGGTATGAAATCAGAAAATAGTTGAGCCATTTTCCTTTTACATCTACGAAAATGAGACTGGGCAATTTCTGTAATAAATAACAATGCACAAAATACAATGCAAAATGCATAGTGTAATGTCAGCAGAAGTAATTTCTATAAATTGTGCCATTTGAGATTACAAATATATGAACATCACAATCAATTTTCAACAAAAGAACTGATCAATGAATATAAAATTAAGATCAACAGGATCACTCTTGTGACAGCCCCTCTGAATAAGGAAACTGAAAGAACTGGCATATCCCTAATTATAATAATATAGTGATTCTGAAAGAAAGGATGAGTCAAATTTTGGGAATATTATCAGTTAAAACCTCTACATTCCTGTGATAAAATTAAACAAAGCATTTTCTGTGACAAATATTCATACAAACAAATTATGTGACAAAAAATCAATATTAATGTCAATCCTTTCTACAATTGTATGTACTTAGGGAACCCTGTTAATATATTTTATGGTAATATATAAATTACACTGTTGAAAAGCCACAAACAGTTTTTAGATGGCAAGATACATTTCTTTCACTGATCGTTTCAAAGACCACATAAATCTTCACCAGGACTTGTGCTTCTAATTGAGGTAACTCATCCTAGCACAGAAAGAGTCCACATAATGATGTTTATTCTCAACTGAACCCCCTACCCTTCCAGGAAAACATAAGGATGGGCTCCTACTCCTTTTGTTGCATGCAGTGATCTGTCTATGTGAAATCCTGTGTTTATCAAAGTAATACCGAGGATGAAAACAATACGAACAGTTACGGTAAGAGGTGACGAACAGTGGCAAATATGTTTTATTTCAAACAATCATAAAAAAAACTTCCATGCTAGATGAAATTATATCACTTGCATTCACAATGCTAATGACTGTCTTACGATTAGAAACAAATCATGACAATAACCATAAGATTGTTAGTTCCTGAATTCAAACCTTTAAAACACAAAACCCAGTAAAACAAGTGAAGCATTATACCTGGTATTAATGCTATTATTCTATGAAGCAGTTATTATCCAACACAACTGAAACTGCAGGGGCAACTTTGTAACATGCCTCTGCCAGCTATAAATTTATCCAACACCAATAAATGTGGACCATGCACATGTAATTGTTGGCTAGTCCATGCTACAAGACATGGGGGCTTCCTCCCACTCTGCACATCACAACCTAACCTGTAGATACTGAAGATACGTTCACACCCTTACAAATGAACGTAACACTGAGGGCACCACATTGCTCGTTCCTTCATATCTGAAGAAACCCGTTTAAAAAATATTAAATTGGTAATGTACAAACAAGATTCCAAACTTGACATTTTCCTTAAATGCAATTACAAATTTTTATCTTTGTTTCAAACTTGTTTAGCCACTAAGCCTATGAAAGTGTTCACACCAAGTACAGGTCCTCATGCTGTCACTACATGGATTACCACCATAGGTTCAGAAAACGATATTAAAATGAAACAAAATCCACATTCTGAAAACTTTGATTCTCCTGAAGAAGTCTTTATAATGAATCCCATAAAAATCTCGAAGTAGGACACAAATTTTGGTTATGCTGACAATTGCAACATTAAATGCCATTATAAGAGTGACTGTCCACATGATCAAGAAATGAATGAATATCGTTTGGCAAATAATTACAAACAAAGACCACTAACACAATATTTTTGACCGCATGTTCAGGATCAGACTTTCTCTATGTACATTAGTCACTGTGGTAACAAGTCACAGTTCTTCAAACTTCAAAATCTGAAATGATCAAACATTAAGTTAAATATTTTGAAATTTGAAATGTTAGCAAATTGCCACTACATACACTTTTTAGAAGGGTGAGAGGGCGGGTAAGACTGTAATCATGAGAATGCGTCAGAAAAACATATCATACGCGGCGAAAGTATAACTCTCCGTCTCAAGACTTTGCAAATAAAAGTGAAAACACAGCTCTGATGTTTACCAAGCAGGCACTTTCTGAGCACTTTGTTTCACCCCACCAATGATCCACCAGAGTTGCAGCAATGATACTCTGTTGGTTCACTAACACGGCACATTTCAGGACTCAAGAATGATATATTTAAATATGGCATATTCTGAACTTTATCCACCATGTTTTAGTATGTTCAGTGTGGCAAAGGTTTAACCAAGTATATGCACATAATAGCCAAGTAAAAGATCATGTACATGAATACTTAAGAAAGGATTAATCATCAAAGCAGCCAAACATGTAATTTGTCTACAAAAATCTGTCTCACTTCATAATCACAATATGTCACAGAATCTTCAGTTTCAAAGTATACAGGTATTCAAATTCTGGCATGATGTGTGCAGAATGCGGAGGAATTGGAGGGATTTTAGTAAATGCAGCACATTAATTTTCTGAAGCACAACAGCAAGACAATATGTAAACGATAAAAACCTTTGATCTGTATGGATCTTGGTGCACATGACTGTTAAACACCTGGAAAATAAACAAGTATGCCAGGTCTGAGCATCAACAAGCCCCCATACAAACATGTTAACCATCACCCCATGGGAACACAGCCTGTTGCTACTGGCAGCATCAAAATTAACCCCTTCAGGCCCAGCGTGACACTCGGACTGTCATAACGTGCAAATTCCATTTCAAAATACAAAACATTTGCTGTTTAAACATTTCACTGGTGATGTATTTCCCAGTAACTTTCTGGCACGTGGCCTTTTGTAATGGAGCCCACAACAACGCAGTTTAGGCGAATGAGATATAAAGTACACTTGGATCAATGCATAATGATTTTCATTTTAAATTAATATGAGCATCAAGGAGAAGACAAAAAGCAATCATTAAAAAATATTTCATCATGTATCCCTAGAGGGGGGTATATGGTGCCTGTCAATATCCCTTTATATCTCTATACAATCAATGCACTGCATGACAGCGGCCATTCAAATTATTATACTGCCAGCTGACTGAACAGCTTTGCACCCTCAATGTGATGGTTAACATGTTAGCAAACAGTCTGATCAGAATATCACTTCGAAGACTTCGTGTCTGAAGGAGAAAAAATATGTTTGCCTTACCTTACATCTACTCATTACACCACGTTACATGAAAAATGTAATACTTGAAATTTTAATCTATGAAACAGGTAACTTAACCAAAACAAACTAAACAAATCATGACACTATTCAATATAGAATGCATACCACCTGTACAAAACTGAATACCTGCAAGAGCAATAAGTAAACCCATTCTGAATGGAAAAAGAATTACCACAAAGCACACATTTTAATTTCTATAGAATCTTCTTCTGTTCAAACTTTAAATGCATATTCATTTTAAACGCATGATGTGTAACCTCTCTACATAAACATGCACATAAATAGAATAACCACTATTATGTAGTAAATTTATTACTGTAAGAATGAAAAAAATTACTCAACTATAACACCAAATTATTTTATCTTCATTGTACCTCTGACTTGTATTTTTGTCATATTACGAGTGGCAACATATTGATTTAAACACACAATGGGGCAACTCACCGGACTGGCAGGTGTGCGTGGCCAGCTGGGGCTGTTCACATCCCCGTATTCCTCGTGCATCGAATTGAGACTGGCGGCACCAGGAGAAGGAACAGTGCTTTGGGGCGTTGGGGGATGGCTATGGTAAGAACCTCCAACAACTGGCCCATCCTTGCGGGACTTTGGAGTACAGCTTGGATCCTCACCAGATGCTGGAAACATCCAATTACGTCACATGTAAGAGTGAACAAAATATGAATGTCATATACGATCTATACCTTTCACAGCGACTAAATTCAGAGAAGTTTTATCGAGCAATCAAAAGCATCAGGTAGTCACGAAACACCGAGACCGTTCTCAAAGTCGTGTTGTGTGGCCACCTGGTGCGACTGATTATCCAAGAAGACTTCACTGAATAAATAACATCAGTTGGAATAAAATTCAACAAATGGTCTATATTGGTAGTCAATTATAAAGGAATAAAAAAGATAACAAGATTTCAAGGCATATATCCTGAAGTGATTAACTGAATCTTCAGTATGGATAATGTCACCATAAGACCAAGACTGGGACACTTACATCACAGTACGGGGGTTTATTCCCTGTCCTGTTACATGGTGACGCAATGCAGGAGACCCCAATCTAAACACTCACTGTAATAATAATAACCCTGTATCTCATGTTCTTGTTCATGCTTCTTATAAGTATCTGATGCAGATCGGCATCTCACTCTTTATCATACGGAAACAGGGGACTTAAATCTCTGTTCTACAAGGTTGCCAGCCATACTATTATGCCAGGCTTCTGTTGTGATGCATTACCAGCTGGACCATTACCTGCGACACACAGCTGATAAAGGATAAAAACATCATTTATCCTGATGTATGGTTATAATTTCAATTCCATAGATGATAAACACAAAGTGGAAGAAGAATCCCTTCTGTGTTCTGAGCTAGTGAACTAAATACTTATATCCAGAAACATGTTCAATAAGTTTAGTCTAAATTGTGTAATCCTTGAATGTTATTGCTGCATATTCCCATGAATTTAGTTTTGGTTATAGAGGTTTTATTTTCATATTTATTTGCAATCATATACACCACAGACCGAAGTCAAGAATTACCATTCTCAATCCCTATGCTGAAGGTACCTTCATGAACAACTTGTTTATAGCACTTAGCAAGCATTAATAACAGTATGTAATGCACAGTGCTGTCATTAATAGCTCTTCGGCACTGCGTGTGTCTAGAATCACAAACAACGCATCATACCTGCTGATGCATTTGAAAGTGTTGACTGCTGAGAGCCTTCATCCAGGGGTGTTCCATCTGGGCCGGTGGTCACGACTGATGTCACTGTGCCTGGGGTCGCTGGTGTCACGTTCGTTGTTGTTGTACCTGCAACTTGACACCCAACTTTAATAACATAGAGCACACAAACCAAGGTTAGCAAGTGTGCAAACTCATAAGTTATGAAACTTACCTGTGGAGGTGGTGGTGATGATGCCATTGTCATGTGATGGCTCTGGAGGGCCAAGCATGTCAGCTGCATGGCTGCCACCAGGCATTGAGTGTTGAGGAGGGTGAGAGTTAGAGGTGGAGGCAGGTGGAGGCATTGGGCCAGGACCATCATGGTGTATGTGGCTGTTAGGCAGCGGAGAAGGGGTGCTTGCAGTCACCGTCGGAGGAATGCTGGTGGGTGCGGAGACGACCATCGGTCCCGCGGTCCCGCTCGAGGTGCCGGCCGACGACGGAGGACCCATGCTCATGCCAGGGCCACTTGGTGGTGGAGGACCCATCCCAGGATGATGGTGTCCAGAGGGTGGAGGACCCATGGGTGACCCCATTCCAGTGTGGTGATGCAAGCTACCAGGTGGACCCATGCCAGGCCCACTGCCTGGTGGCATCCCAGGGGAAGATGCACCTCCATAGCCCACCTGAAGGGGGCTGGAATTGGGAGGCATGCCAGAAGCTCCAAAACCCATCTTATGCTGTAAGAAATAAGAAACAGGTACTGGAAGCTGGAATCCAAATTCGACCTCCATAATTAACAATTAAGTGTCGATATTCACATTCACGTTGACTGAACAGTGCACTCTTCACAAATGAAATGATTCGTCGCATGTTGTCCACTTGGCTGTGCAAGTTACAACTTGTTCAATGGAATTAACTGACGCGGAGACGGAAGGGCCACACGGATGGCTCCTCCGCGCACGAGCCGCTCCGTCGAATCGTGTAAAGTCACATAAAGAACAAGGTAACTTATCCGCATGCGGAGGACGGAGCGACTATGTAACGGGCCTTACTGTCCCAGCCGTTTGTAAGGTACAGTACAAAGTGTAGACAAACCTAAAGAGCGATAGAATTCAATCCACTAAACTTTATTGTAAGTTTTCTTTTTAAAACCTGCCAGACCCCTATAGTGAGATTTGTTTCACATTCTTTACATTTCAATAAACATAATCCAATCTGCTTCACTTCATATCAGCTAATTCATTATGTTCATTACGTGTCAGAGCATTCATTGTATTCTGATATTTTTAGTTGTTTGGTGAAACTACAAATTTGATCATCTCATTGTTTTGATTTTCCAATTATGTCTGTCAGTAGATGCTAATGAAAGACATTTGCAAATCTTAAAACTGAAATTTGAATTTTTTGCAACAGTGACATTTCAGCCTGTCATGTTCTGTGTTGAGGCAGCCTGTTACTCCAAAATGTTGGTAATCACTGTAAAATAAATATGAATGACAAGACCACGATGTGAATATTTGTGAAATTTATCCCATTTGGAATTGTGTGTTCAAGACAGTGACTATAAAAGTGTGCATGCATCCTAGCCAAAGTAAAAGTTAGAGAATATAATGAATGACAATACTCAAAAAGAGTTAAGTGATCTGTTGCCATACTGTTCCTATTGTGCGAGTAGGTTTCATTGAGACATAAGAATATTAAACAAAACTTGTCTTCTATTATTTAATGGTGTTGTAGTTAAAGGCTACAAACGGGGATTACGTAAATCGGGTACGGCCTGTATAAAGTTGGCTCACAAACCTGCAAGTGTTGTTTGAGGTAATGCGGTGACGTATGTGGCCTTGGACCAGCTGTAGGATTTGCAGCCTGGGGTGGTACACTGGGCTGAGGGCCTGGCCCCTTACCAGGACCACCCATCATATTGGGAGGGGGACCTTGATTCATTGTAGGACCTCCCCACCCCTGGAAATACAATCAGATTGTCAATGACTACATTTTTATCCTACTACACTGCACCTCATGAAACAAAATGGCACAGTTCATTACCAAGCAACCTCTTGCTCACCAAATCCCTACATGAATTTTTTGTCTTACATTAATGCATCAAAAAGCGAATGGGGCGCTATTTTTGACCAAGTGCGCAAGCAAATCCACTGCAAATGACCAGATCATTTTAGATGGATTCTTCAATGAATAAAAACTGTGTCAAAAAGGAAAATTTTATATAAAATTAGTGAATTTACCCACTCTTCTGAAACTAAACTCTACTGAAATAATGAAAATACGACAGTCAGACTGGAACATGGTGATGATAAGCACAGGATAATTATATCAATACTGGACAACTGGGGTCCGCAGTGGCCGTGCGGTCTGAGGTGTGGGCCTTGTGCCGCTGGGACCATGGGTTCAAATCCCACTCAAGCCATGGATGTTTGTCCGCGTTTTTCTGTGTTGTGCTGTCCTGTGTACAGGTAGGGGCCTTTCGACGGGCCGATCCCTCGTCCGAGGGGTCCTACCGAATGTCCATGGAGCAAGACAACGAAAAGTTGGGACCCGCAGTGCGCAGGCACTTGAAGAATGGGTCGTTCCCAGTATCCTAGTATACTGGACAATTACCTGATACGGAAACTGAGGCACATGGTTGGGCATTGGCCGGCCCTGGTACTGCCCAGGGCCCATGTTGTTAGTCTGGGGGTTCTGCTGACCCCCTGGACCAGGCCCATAACCTTGGTTGGCACCATACTGCATGTTACCCATCTGCTGTGGCCGAGGATTATAGTTCCCTGAAAATACAAAGAAGATAAAGGATTTCATGAAGTGCAATAAAAACAAAACTAGAGCCAGCTCAAACCTCTTAAATGTCAGAAAACCTCTACCTGACCTGAAAGACAGCCATGTTCATACTCACTATCGTGAAAACCTCAAATCCTACTTGGTTCAAAACTCAAACATATCTAAAGCACAACAAGAATGCTCCAGATGCAGGGAATTTCATTATATTCATTTCTGGAGACAAAGCCAAGTGAACTGGCTTGCTCAAAACATTCAGAGCTGAAACTGCGCCACGTAATATTATAAAAAATGATCAAGATTTCAGAGATTCTTACTGCCTCCTTTAAGTTGTAAAAAAGCAAATAAACATTAAAATTATGTTTTAAATTGTATGACAATGCTGCCCCAATTGCATAGTTTATGTGGTGTTGAATATGAGGGCGATAGTAAACGACGAATTCGAAAGACATGGACAGAAACAAATGTGGTTCAGCCACTGCTTAAGCAGTGAGGGAAACCACAAAAGACCTTACACATGATATCCAGCCTCTGGGCTCCTTGAATATGGAGTTCTGACCACTTATGCAAGAAATTTGGTGTGTTCACGGTATTAAAATTAAGATGACAATATGACAGCCATATTTTTAACACACTTTTACATAATAAACTGGCATTCTAAATGGAGATAATTACTTCAACTGCCACATTCTATACTGTACTGGAGGGTATTCAATCTCGGGCCACAAACTGTGACTGTCACTTGCTTTTGTGTTTATTTTTCAGTTTAGCGTATCAATCTTAGCTGGAGTGACAGTGTTTGTCCTTCAGAAGAAGCAACAAACAGGTCTGCCAAAATGCATTGACTTCACTGAAATGTGTGAATCTTTAGCTGCCTATCTGCTGAACTCTTTTTCTTGTGCACCACATTCTGATTTGTTAATATCTCCCACGAAACAGTTACAGAATGCCGATTGTAAAATAAGACATACGAAGATCTTATAACATAACAGGCCTGGGTTGCTATTTCTCTCATCACATTAAGATGCTGAAATATTGGCAATCTAACAAAAAATAAAAATAAAATACAAGCAAGAATTGTAACATTCTTAGGATACATCACAGGGGTTGCAAAATATGGAGACTTACGAACTACCCTGATGGAAGAAGCAAGCATCTCTAAAACACTGGTAAACTTCTACCACACAACACAACACTACAACCCATCTCCAGGATATAAGGTTCGCACCTTGTGGGTACTGCTGTCCTTGTGGAGTATATGGAGCCATCTGCTGGCCACCAGGAGGAACCATACCAGGGTGTGCTCCCATCTTGTAAGGGTGCATATGAGATGGTGGTGCTAGTGGTTGCTGGTATCCACTCTGAGTTGCCATTGGTGAGTGACTCATTCGAGTTGGGCCACTTCCATCTGACTGACCGCTGGAAGGGCGGGGAGGCATCGGAATGTTCTGTTGACCTGCCAACACACAATATTATAAAATGTTTATTAAACATGGTTTTAATAAGTTTCTGCAACCCATTTCTGCAGTTAATGGATTCTGTACAAATTATGTTTTAATGGTTCAATAGTTCATTTTCTGATATTTTATCAACACCATCAAACAAACGGACGATTACGAACAGCTACACCGAGCATTACATTACAAAAGGCCACAATCTCTTCTTCCCACATCTTTCCCGATTCCTCTCTCTTCATCATCTTGTGACTGAACTGTATCTAACCAACCCTTTCCTCCTTCCCATGTACCAACCCTCTTCCACCATCTCTGTATACCACTAAGTGTTGCTAGCATTGTTTCCAAATAAAAAAACAAGAACAGAATGTCTGCAAAGCTGGTGTTAAGAACCAAGGTCCTTGCTGAAAGAGGGAACGAAAGACAGACTTCTAGAATCCCAAACAAATTCCAGGTCTGAAACAAAGCCTGAGAATATTGCAAATATTATTACTTCTACATTATTTTCTTTCTAGTCTCAAAATATCTTATCATCTCACTTTCAGTCTGCCTGTTCATTTACCAATCCATCTACCAACACTGAACGCTGGGTCCGAACTGTTGGCACTCCTGTCTTGTATTTAGAGCTCAAATAACGGCCCGGAGAGAGGTTATCACCACTGAGGATTTTCGTGGCTTTCCTCAGCACATCCAGGCAAGTGACAAGATAATCCTTTCCAATTCATTGTTCCTATCAAATAACGCTGTACAGTATGAGCTACAGGCTAAATAAATTACAAACAAATAATTAATACACCCGTCCTCCTACATGTCCATCCATGCACGAAATTTACTAACGTGGCTTCAGGCTGCTGTGGAGACCCGCAGGCTGAGATGCATTTCCGGTGAATACAGCAAATTGCGCAACAGTTTCTTGGTCCCAGTCCAAGCTCTCTGCCAAATATTTGTAGGTCAAGATCTTGTCCCGCGGTTTAATGACAGGTTCCCCTTTATACCCTGTATGTCCGTCTCTCTCGGGTGCATCCTTTTTCCAACATCACAGAGCAGGCTGCCGT